CGCCGCCACGAAGACCGCTACTGCCGGAGGATCGGCAGGAGCCCACGCAGCCACAGCAGCGAGGCCTCGAAAGTAGCGCGCCGAGCGGGCGCGGGCAGCGATCACCGACGCCGTGGGCTCCAGCCCCTCGTACATGGGCAGCCCCAGGCGCCGCCACGGGTCCACCGCCTGCACGTCGTAGGCCAGGCGACCCAGCAAGGCCTGCAGCTCCACCCAGCTACGCGGGAAAGCCACGGCGACCTCTGTCATCGGGGAGGTCGTAGCCGATACGGCCTGTATCAGCGCGAAGTGCTGGACGATCTCGGCCTCCACAAACGCCTGCAAGAGCTGAAGGTTCAGCATCACCGCCGGACCCTCCAGAGGGGCCTGCACAGCCCCCGCTGGCTGGCCCGACGGTTGTCCTGACGGCAGCTGGGGGTGCACTGCGGCAGCAGCGGCAGCAGCAGAGGCGGCTCACGGGGCGGCGGCGTCTGGTGCACCAGCAGCCTCGCCGATGGCGACGTCGGAATTGTCCAGGATGAGGTGAGCCGTGTCCTGGGTCAGACCAGTACCGCCGTCGCCGAATCCCAGGCCTGGGTCGGAAGGCGGGGCAGATACCTGGGAGCGGGAAGCCCTCGGGGCAGCCGTAGCGCCAGCATCGGCCCTGCTCGTCAGCCGCGGCTGGCAGCGCTCCGAAGAGAGGGCATGCCGAGTGCGAGCAGGCCATGCCGCCACTGGAAGGGTAAAGAAAAGGAGCGGACAGAGAGCGGAAGGTGCCTGGCTTGAGCTCTAAACCCCTGGACCTGACCAGGGGCGCAGAGCTTGCGCCACTGCTACGACTACTACTACTACTACTACTACTACTACTACTACTACTACTACTACTACTACTACTACTACTACTACTACTACTACTACTACTACTTACTACTACTACTACTACTACTACTACTACTACTAACTACTACTACTACTACTACTACTACTACTACTACTACTACTACTACTACTACTACTACTACTACTACTACTACTACTACTGTTACTATTACTACTAAACGACTACTACTACTACTACTACTACTACTACTACTACTACTGTTACTATTACTACTAAACGAATACTACTACTACTACTACTACTACTACTACTACTAC